AAAAAAAAAAAAAAAAAAAAAAAGAATCAGAAGGAAAAAGTGCTTTTACACCTGTGAAAGAAAAGACTTGTTAAGAAGATATCTAAACGGATGGTTATCTTATTGGAATAGACCTGTTGATAAACTCATAAGGTTCGTTGGACTATTTTTTGTTTTTTTTTCAATACATGTATGTACACTATAAAAGCCAGTCAGTTTATACTCATAAATCAGATAGAGGGAAATGAAAGAAGTCAATTTTCAGTACTTCCGAAGGTGTGCTCCTTTTATAGAACCTAATGACTGTCTCAAATTTTGGTCAACATGCTCCTTCATCTGCAAGCTATCCAGAGGAATCGGTTGATATTGTTGTTAAATAAATATCAATCATTTATTAAATGGGTGTCTTTAAGACACAGTGGAAATGTAGCTTAGATTCCTTTTCCTCGTTGGATAAACTCTGATCCACACTGTATGAACAAAAGTAAAAGAGCAGAAGGAAAAATAAATGAACTGCCCTGGTCACTCGGGAATTGGGCACTAAAATACCTCTGAGATGATAATCTTAACCTCTGGCCTTGCTACAATGTGCCAGGTTATTACTGTGGCCATCTTTATCCCCTTACGAGGATGAAGAGTTGAAGTGTACTGTTCCTTTCCCAGGTTTATGGGAAGGTCAATCCTCTGCACTGAGTTGCACCAGTTGTGCCTCACTTGGCGCCATATTGGGTGCCTCTTGTTGCAGTTCATGACCATGGCATGGTTCAAAGAATGAGAGATTACTCAGTTTCCATGTCCAGTATAACCTCCAAGAGGGCCCAGAGCAGCTGTCTTAATGGAGAGCTATCAATGTGACAGAATGTTAGGAAAAAAAACAGCCCCCAAACTGAAGCTTTGGTGGCTTTTTATTGATAGAACAGGAAAGGCATCTGTGCAAGAATTCATATAGGGAACAGAGGAAGGAGAGGAGAAGGAAAGGGAAAGGTCAGGGTGGTTTGTTATATTACTGAGATTAGGGCCAAAGCGTTCAATTGGGAGTATGGGGAGTAACAGGGCCAGAGCCATCATTCTTTAATGTGTTATGATCCTACTTAGACTTGTGGTCCTACAGATTACCTTTTAATCTCTAACTATGCATTCTGGGAGTTTTAGGCTTTTGGCTACTTTGTATATCCATCTCATAACACCTGTGGCCACAACCCCACAAAAAATAGATATTAATAATGAGATATTTCAATTCTCCAGTTTTACTAATGGATAAAATAAGGAGACAGTAAAAAAACGAGGAAACAGGCTTCATGAACCTCACAGAGATGTACAGAAAATTCCATCCACCAGGAGGAAAAAATACATACTATTCACAAGTGGATATGCATTATTTTCCAGGATAGAACATATGTTATGACAAGAGAGAAAACAAATAAATGAACAAATAAATAAGCACAATTTAACAAAAAAATATGGTACTAACAAATCAACAAATTTAAAAGATTGAAATCATGTCAGGTTTTCTTTCAAAAAACACTTATGGAACTAGAAACCATTAACAGGAGGAAAGCAAAAAAATCATAACAATGTAGTAATTAATATTTTCCTAAATAACCTATTGATCAAAGAAGAAATCAAATGAGAAAATAAAAGATATCTGGACACAAATGAAAATATAGCATACTAAAACTTAGAGGATAGAAGAAAAGTGGTTTTAAGATGAAAATCTAAAATTATAATTGTCTACTTTAAGGAAAAAAACCTACAATAAATAAATTTAACCTCAAGAAATTAGAAAAAAGAACACCAGAGTTATCAGGATAGAAAGGACAGAAAAGAAAATTGAATGAAAGTGAAAAGAAAATGAAATGGAAAATAAACCATTGAAAAAAACAATAAAATTGAGATTTTTTTAAAAAAGATAAAATTGATAAAGCTATAATAAAGAAAACACAAAATCAGAAATGAAAAAAGACATTACAACATGTAGCACAGAAATGCAAAGAAACATGACTAACAAGAACAATTATTCTATGGATATAATTTGCCATCACTTCAGCCACCTTAAGCCATAATACCTGATTCCTTTGAGGTAACTAAATGGTTTTTCCTACATACATAACAAACCATAAGTACATAAAACTATTAAAGTCACTTGTGAAGCTTAACAATAGGATTATGGTTTCAGAGAAACACTTTATATTCTATATTATAAGGTTATTTTTTATTTAAGACATATATATCTATAATGCTTTTTCAGATCCAAACGGCAAGAATCCAGCTGATTTTCAGGCCATCCTGGACCATGTTTCTGTTCTGTACCATGTTGTTTTTTTCACAAAGAGTTACTTAACTTTTCACAAGGAATTACTTCCTGTTAAGATTTACATATTTACTTGGCTTAATATCTTTTTTATTGTTGAATAATACAAAGATTTGTGTATATGTATCACAGTGTGCTATTATTCATTTATTAGTTGCAGGATGATTTGTTTGATTCTAGTTCTCAGTGATTTTAAATTGTAATACTGTAAACATTCATATGCAAATGTTTGTGTGGAGTTAAATTGTTCCATCAACTGACTACATATCTAGCAACAAGATCTTCATCATGTTTAATTTTTGCATTCTACCAGCAATGAATGAGAATTCCTGATATGTCACTGTACATCCTTGACAAATGGTATTATCAATTTTAAAAATTTCAACTATTCTATTTTAGCTCAGTGGCACTGTGACTGCTTCACAAGGGCCAAAGTCCTGAGTTCAATCCCTGGTACTGGAAAAAAAAATTTTTTTTTAGTTATTCCAATAGTTGTAAGTAGTATTCCATTATTTTAATTTGCATTTCACTAATGACATATGAGGTTGAACATACTTTCATCTGTTACAATTTCTATATTTTCTTTGGTGAGCTATTTTTTTCAGATCATTTATCTTTTTTGTTTTATTTAATTAACTAATTAATTTTTGAGACAGGGTATTGCTTTATAATTCATGCTGGCTTTGAAATAACTATAGAGTCCAGGCTAGTCTCAAATTGTGGACCTCACAGTGATCCTTCTGCCTTAGCCTTCAAAGTGCTGGGGTTATAGTCATGCCGCCACAATGCCCAGCTTGGCCTTAGCATTTCATTTTATTTATTTATTTATTTTTGGTACCGGGGATCAAACTCAGGTGTGCTTGCTTTTGCGAGGCAGGAGGCAGTACCACTGAGCTAAATCCCTAGTCCTTAGCATTTTATATTTGGGTCTGTGATACATTTAAGATTTACTTCTGTGAAAGTATGACTCTGTGTTTGACTGCAACTTGTATACCATCTGTACTCAATTCCGTAATGACGGTGTGAATGAGTCAATCTATCTGTAATGAGATAAGTGAGTCTTAGTTTTTAAAAAGACTATGCTTTATTTATTTTTAAAATTTATTTATTTTTTTGGTTTTTTGAGACAGGGTCTCACTATGTAGTTGAGACTGACCTGGAACTCACTATGTAGCCCAGGCTGGTCTTGAACTCCCAGCGATCCTCCTCCCTCAGCCTCCTGAGTGCTTGGATTATGTCCAGCTAAGACTATGCTTTAGATATGTATCAACTTGGAGGAGTGCATATATATTTGCCAAAGTGTTTGTCTTGTAGATCACTGTTATAATTAATGTAATCATGTTAATACGGTTACTATAACATTCAGCCCTCTGAAGTCATTTAACTATAATAGAATAAAGACAGGAAATATGTTTGAGAGAACATAATGGACTACCACATTAGGAGTAAAATTTGACTTAAAGCGCCATGAGAATTTTGGAAGTATAGATTTATAGCAGACAATTGGACGTTTTCGGCAACTGTATTTTCTAGGATTGGATAGGGTCAGTGGGACTTTATACTTTGTTTAGATGAGGCTGAGGGGTATACCCTTGAACATGGGCTCAAGAAACGGTGCTGACGAGATCGTGGGGACAGCAATCATTCTTCGCTAAGGTTCTTATTTTCCTTTTCTTCCCAAGTTTTAATCTTATGAGTTTGAAACTTTTGGGTTCTTTCCTGCAGCGGTATTCACAGCACATGGAATCGTGTGAGACTTACTCTGGGAGCTGCAGGTTGGCCGGGAAATCAAAGAAGCACTCACTCGCTCAGCGAGAGGTGGCGATTGTTTTTTTTCTTGTTCTCTTGCTCCCTGCGAGGATTCCGTAGTTGGTTGTTAAGTGACTCGACCTCATTATTCTGTACTCTGCCGTAATTAATTTAAGCAGAATTTAAAGGCTGTTCCATATGGTGCTCGGACTTCCTCCAAAATCTTATGTCAACCCAATACCTACAGAATTACCAGGTGTTGAACTACCTGAACCCTAGCATTTTTGAGTGACTGGGTTAAGGCAGCTAGCAAGTTTAGTAGCACCACCGCTTACGTAAGTCAACAAAAGTCACGTGAGAAAAACTGGCCTTCTCCATTGGTGAGTCTGATTGGCTGTGGGGCGAGGTCACGGCAGTTGCGTAGGGTTCACTCTGTGTCACTATTTCAACAACTTTGTACCGGCTAAGTTTGGAATTATAAGAAATCATCCCGAGCTGTCCACCCTTGCGATCTTTCGTCTTCCTCCGGTCTCTGCCTACCCAGTGATATGACCTGATAGTCGAGCTTTTTTCAGCGTCTGCATCCGCAGCTTTCGTCTTTGCCTTGGAGTTTTTCTGGACCACCCTTTATGGCGGTGATAAAGTTGGTGTCTTAGTCTCAAACTGCGATAAAGGGTATCATTTCAAGCTCTGTATTGGGGTTGAGTAGGCGTCAACGTGGGAGTTATATATTTGTTGCGTTTTCATGAAATCCTGCGGATTTTCGTTCTCTACTGCCGCTGCTGCCTTCGGTGATGAGAAAAAGAAAATGGCGGCGGAAAAAGCAAGTGGCCAGAGTGAAGACGCATCTCTTAGCTTGACAGTCCAGGAGAGAGAAGCTCTCCGAGAATTGGACAGGTACGGGCTGCGGTCACCTGCAGATTTTGGCTCTCGACGGGTTGGCGTCGCTCTCCAGAAAAGCCCGACTGGCGCTTGCCGGCGGTGACGACTGGAAGTCGTCTCGGTTTGGCGCTCACCAAGCTGTCGTAGCTTGCCGGGCTTTACGCTCGGGAAGGGACGGGTCAGTGGCTTTTCGCTAGCATTAACAGGCCGCGTATATTTCTCCCCACAGCAGCCTCTTTGGGTTTCTCAGTCGTCACGAAGATGGCGCCAGGACGAAGACCCTTCTGGGCAAGGTAGGGCAACTATTGCACTGACCGAAGTGCCAACTCTATCTTTTTGGTCTTGTACATTGATGTTCCCTGGCCTTTTGACCCGCACTACCGGACTAGCTTTCATTGTGGTCGCCAACAATGCGCAACAGCCATTCTGAATATTTCTTGCCTTTGCTCTTTTCCTCCAGAACACTTCGACCACTACATAGCCAAATCCTTCCTGGTAGCTCCAGAGCGCTCTGGGACCGGGTTTGCATAGTAGATAACCAGTTATTTTAGGGATTTGTGGTTAGGGAGAGGTTTCCTGAATTTTAGTATCGCAGATAGTGAATCCGTAATTTTGAGAATTAACGACTTACCTTGTATTATTTTTTTTAAATTTTGACATGTAATTTATGATGTCTAATTTTAACCCAGGCTTACTTATATCCCTTATCTCAAAAAAACTAAAGTTCCATCATTTACTGTGGTGAACAGTTTGTATTGATTGCTTTACCCACATATACTAATCAGTATGTATTTGATGTGAAGTTATAGTGTTTACTTTTTTTTGGATTTAGCAACCACAGAAACAGTGATGAGGATGCTATTTTATTAATGCGTGGGCCATTTTTCTCTTTAGAATATTGTTTCCTGAGTATTTGAAGAGATACTGGGGAGATTTCCTCGTTTGTGTAAAAAGTTGGTAGTCATTTAGTTAATGGCTGCTCCTATCAGCCAAGATGGCGGGAAATAGGGAGAGAAATGAAGGAGGTTCTTTGGTGGAAGGAGGATATATATATATATATTTAAAAAGCTCTCTGGTGTATAATCACAATTATTGCCTACTATTTAAAAATAAAATACCTGTCTTCCTAAGATTGAAAGCAACATTCTTAAGCTGGTGTATGTTTATTAGTTATAGCTCTTTTAGCTGCTTGCTAGAAAACAATTGCAAAGGTTACAGACCTGTTTCTGTCATTTTATCACCTTCCAGAAACTGCTTAAAATGACATTTTTCATTTATCACCTTCCAGAAACTGCTTAAAATGACATTTTTCTTTTTTGTCACTTGGTACCATGAAAGGAGGGTTGTGTGCAACAAATGCTGTATTTTTTTCTTGTTTTAGTCAATGGATATTAATTAATTCTCTTTTGAAATTTTATTGATTGATTGATACTTGAGATAAAATTTAAGGCCTAAAATATGGTAGGAAGTGCTCTACCACTGAGCTATAATATGCCCAGCCACAAATTTTAAGTTGAAGATTTTTTGTAAAAGGATACAGTAAAATCAAAGTTATTCAGATTGAGTAGTATGTAATTTCATTACATATATATTGGATAATGTTTAAGTCAGGTTAGCTGCGGATTTAGCTCAGTGGTTCTGCGGCCTGCCTTGCCAGTGCGAGGATCCAAGTTCAATCCCTGCCACCAAAAAATAAATAAATAAATAAAATCAGGTTAAATATCTTTATGGTGGAAATTTCCAAGACTGTTTTTCTACCTTTTTGAAATATAAAGTATGTACATTTAGTTACTTATTTTCGGTACCATGGGTTGAACTCAGGATCTTGTGCTTGGGAGGCAGGTGGTGGTATCACTGAGCTAAATCCCCAGCACTAAAATATATTATTGTTATCAGAATGACAGTTCTGCTGTGCTTCTTACAGCTAGCTAACTGCAGTTTAGTATCCTGCATCCCTTCTCCCCTTTCTGTTGTAGGCCTCTGGTAATGTTCTATTCTCAACTTTTATGACATTTAATTTTGTTAGAGTTGCCCTGAGTGAGATGCTGTGGTATTTAAACTTTCTGTGCTTCACTTATTTTGCTTAGCTAGCATAATGACTCCAAGTTCCACCTTGTTGCTGCAAGTTTAGGTTTTCATTCACTTTTATGGTTGAATAGTATTCCATCATGTATATATGCCTCTTTTTAAAATTCAAAAAACATTTTTTTATACTGGGGATTGAACTCGGGTCCTTGGCACTTGTGAGGCAGGTGGCAGAACCTCTGAGCTAATCCCTAACCTGTATGCCACTTTTTAAAAGAAGAAAACTTGAATTTTTATTTGTATTTACTTTGCATAGTCATTTAGATTTTTGTTTTGAGACAGGATCTGATTATGTAGTTCAGGCTGACCATGAATTCACTATGTAGCTCAGACAGGCAATTCACCTGCGTTAGCTACCTGAATAATGGGATTACAGGAGTGAGGAATATGCTCAACAGACTTTGAAATTTTGAGGGAAGGTGTCAATGCAATATGTAACCTAGACTACCCTTGAACTCACAATCTTTCTGCCTCAGCTTCCTAAGCGATGAGATTACAAGTATGCACTATTACACTGTTATTTTACCTGTAATCCTTTATTGTTTTAGTCACAGATAATAACCAGAAAACTGTCCTGTAATAATTAACCTTTCAGTAAATTCACTTGACTGATAAATAAAGCTCAGACTTTATGTAAATCAGAATTGCTCCATGAACACAATCTTTGGCAAAATAGTGACCAGCTTGGTTACAGCATAGGCAGGAATAACTGTGATGTGTTCATATAGATGATATGGGAAAGTACTTTTTGTTTGTTTGTTTGTTTGTTTTGAGACAGGGTCTCACTATGCAGTTTAGGATGGCCTTGAACTCACTTTGTAGCCCAGCTTGGCCTCAAATTTTGGCATACAGCATAGAGGAATAACTGTGATGTGTTCATATAGATGATATGGGAAAGTACTTTTTGTTTGTTTGTTTGTTTGTTTTGAGACAGGGTCTCACTATGCAGTTTAGGATGGCCTTGAACTCACTTTGTAGCCCAGCTTGTGGCCT